TCCTCAAAACTGGACCAATAAGCAACATCATGATAAACGGAGAAAAGCTTGAGGTTGTCAAGGATTTCATTTTACTTGGATCCGCAATCAACACCCATGGAAGCAGCAGTCAAGACATCAAAAGACGCATCGCATTGGGCAAATCTGCTGCAAAAGACCTCTTTAAAGTGTTGAAAAGCAAAGATGTCACCTTGAAGACTAAGGTGCTCCTGACCCAAACCATGGTGTTTTCAGTCGCCTTATATGCATGGGAAAGCTGGACAGTGAATAAGGGACACTAAAGAAGAACTGACACCTTTGAATTGTGGTGTTGGCAAAGAATACTGAATATACCTTGGGCTGCCAGAAGAGTGAACAAATCTGTCTCGGAAGAAGTACAACCAGAATGCTCCTTATAAAGAAGGATGGTGAGACTATGTCTCACATACTTTAGACGTGTTATCAGGAGGGATCAGTCCCTGGAGAAGGACATTGTGCTTGGTAGAGTAGAGGGTCAGTGAAAAAGAGGAAGACCCTCAGTGAGATGGATTGACACAGTGGCTGCAACAATGGGCTGAAGCATAGCAAGTTGTGAGAATGGCGAAGGACAAGGCAGTGTTGCATTCTGTTGTGCATGGGGTCGCTATGAGTCAGAACTGGCTCGACAGCACCTAACAACATTATATAGGAGAAACACATTTTAATTTCTGTTCTAGATGAAATGATCCTCACCCAAAAAACAAGGCCTAGAACTCTATTTGCTATAAGAGGAACTTTTCATTTAGCTCTCCATTCACAATTAAGAGAATTTCATCCTGAATATGAACATCATTAATTGATGTCAACAAATTTTCAGAGAATTAATTTAGGTTAAAAGGATTTATTATTTAAAAGATATAATTTATTTCATAAAACCCTTTAGTGATTTAAAGAAGAAAATTTCATTAAATTATGATTAACTTGTAATTCTAATACAGAATAGACGGTGAGTTGCATTTCATTTTTGATTTTTATTATTTGCATTTTCTTTGGCAAAATTTGCTTGGAAAATTGTTTTCTCTGAGTCCTAATGCAGTCTATATTAATTTCCATAGACGACAAAATTGAGAACAGATTTTCAGCTGAAAGAGATGACTATGGATCGGATACAATGAGTGAAATAAATATTGTTGGCCGAATTACACTAAATCTTTGGAGAATCATGAGAAATGAGGTAAGATGCTTTATCTAATATTTTGTCGGAAATTAGAGATTAGATCAATATGTCAATTTTAATCTTTATAGAGTATTAGTACTTCTTACTATGCAGCTGTTATACTTTCCTGTGAACGATTTTTATTAAACTTAAGTAGTTTCAAAAATAAATATTACTTTCTAAAATGCAAAACTACAAAAGTGTTTTACTTAAGTGTTATTGATGAATTTGTTTTTTCCCTTGTGTCAAAAGTAGCAATAACTAGAAAAGTCTATAGTTGTCATGAAATATTGTATAATTTCATCATTTTTACACTTAAGGCCAGATGAATTCAGCTTGGCCTTGTTGATTTATTACAGCAAGAAAAATTTACATAGGAAAGAACTTCTTGTACTGAGGATTTTTATATATTGGGCGAGACTAATAAGGTAAATTAGAGAGTCAGTATTAGAAAATAGTTAATAGCAGCAACCAACTGATGTTCTGGGGGCCCAGATAAGGATTTTTGGTAGAGTAAATTTCAACAAACTGTCTCATTAGTTTATAATCACTTAAGTAATTCTTTCACCAAAAGTGTAAAATCATAGCAGTCTAGGAAAATTGTTTTAATAGTCAAAATAAAATATTTACATTCTTGAGGTAGTTTGATTTCTCTTACTGAAATGTAAAATGATGCCCACTATAAATTGGTCTATTCTCAGATTTTGGACTTTGGATAATAATAGCTAAAATGTGTCTATTTAGAAGGAAGCACTATTCTTCAATTGCTTCTTTTTACAACTACTTTCTCATTGTATACTGTTTACTGTGATCTTTCTGGCTCTTCTGAATTTATATAAAACATTTGACTTTCCAAGCATGCCCTCTGCAATTCTTGTGGACACTGTCACACAGTAATTCTATCAGATCTGCAACAGTCAGGTATTTCTATTTTTATTTCCTCTCTGCTCCATGAGCTTGAAGTTATACTCACATTTTATCTAATTCAAAGATATGCAATATGTGAATCTGCCTGAGTGATGAGAATATCCAGAGGAGAGGATACTTTTATCCTGTTGTGTTATTTTCTTCTTAAAATATTGTCAGAACACAGTGTCCCTCCCTAATGACTTGAAAATAATTCCTAGTGACACAGCATAGGATATGGAAGATGCAGAGATTGAGTGTATGTGGATTATATATTTCAGTATATATTTCAAACTACAGTCTCTGATACTGCCTGGTATGAATACAGAAATTAAGCATATAAACACAAAAGTAAATTACTGACTATTACTTTCAGGGGTCTTTTTATCCTTTGCTTAGATCCAAAAGGCATACCAACTTAATCCCAGCCTTTCAAGAATTTGCCAAGTGGGTTAGAAATAGACCTGATTCAGTTGAACAAATGTTTTATTGAATGCATGTCTAGTGTACAAATAGAGGGACTGAGTTTAGATAAAGTAAGAATATGCCTGATTCATCTCTGGCAGTAGGCAGGGTGGCAGAATAAATGGGGGCAGATATTGGTGCAGATGTTGGTAAGCAGGTAGATGCTGATTATGAGAATCTGAAAGTTCTCTTCTGGTTGCTTCAGTTTTCTCAGCAAAATAGGAATCACTGTTCTCAGCTGAGAGTGAAAATAGTGGAGGGGGTTTGTGGGTTTGAGGAGAAAAGATGAGTGTGAAATTGTTATTTAGGAGAATTTGAGAGTGAATAATTAAGAAAACATAAAAACTAGACAGCATTAAAAGCCCACTTAAGATTTGCATCAGGAAATTAAAGTGATACCTGCCAGCTATGTTCAGATTCACAGATGCAGGTGCAGATTAACAGAGGATTAAATTCGACCACAACTCACAAGCAAAGGGCCATGGCTTTGCTTTAAAAAAAAAAGAAGAATCAGGACAGAGGCAGAGAAATGAAGGATGTGGACAAGGGAGTGATTATAATGATTGACTGTGGAATCTAAGCTAGAGGAACCAAGAGAGTTCCAGGGTACTGGAGGGAGTGAGCTGGAAAGATAGAAGCTGGTGGTCAGAAAGTGGGATACATGAGATTATGGAGAGGGTACAATTATTGGTAATAATAGATCCTGGGGTATGATCAGGGGAGTAGGTGGCTAAGGTGGGATGGAGGACAGAGTTACTAGAGAAAAAGAGTTCAAGGAATACCTTTGTTTTCTTCTCATATAAATCTTATGTTGGTTGGATTTTAAAATTTGGAGATAGCAACAGTCTTTTTAAAATTCTATAGATATAGCTCCATTCACTTCTGGAATTTAGTACTGTAGAGGAGAAATCTGAGGTCTGGCTTAATTGTATCTTTGATTATTGCTTCTGTCCCATTTGTTAGACTTTCATTCAAGAACCTAATTATCCATGTATTAACTCTCTGTTTTCTGTTCCCTATATCTTCCCTGTCATCATTTTCATCTCTTTGTCCTCTTTATCTGCATTCTGAGAGAGCCATTTAGGTTTACTCTCCACATCATTCTGTAGGAACTGTTCTGCTACTTACTGCCTTCCATGTGGGCTTTCATTCTGCTGTTGCGTTACTAGTCATTAATTTTACAGTCCCTCCTCATCTAAGTTTGTTGCCATTTTACCTCATCTTGTTTCTTTTTCTACCTTTTTGCAACCCTTTAGTTATGTGTGATTGTGTATGTGTGTGTTTAATACTGCAAGATAAACCTTTTTTTCCACAACTTAAATCCAGATGGGTCTTGAAGTTTGCCAAGAATACCCAGCAAATTACGTGTACCATCTTCTTAAGAATTGACACCAAAACCAAAACCCTTTGCTGTCAAGTCAATTCCAACTCATAGCAACTCTATAGGACAGAGCAGAACTGCCGCATAGAGTTTCCAAGGAGCGGCTGGTGGACTCGAACTGCCGACCTCACTGTAGCTCTTAACCACTGAGCCACCACGGCTCCAAGAATTGACAAGGGAGAGATAATTTTAAATAAACATAGCCAAAATCAGTAGCATTGTGACTTTTTAATTGAGTGAACATTTCTATACTTTTTTTTTCTTTGTTTTTCTTCTTTTTTTCATGTGGGCAGCCCCCAAGAAGGGCAGTTCTCTTTAGCAGAGGGCATGGCCCAGAGTGGCGCTCAGCTGAGAGCTATTGGCTAACTGCTATTCCAGCGGCTGGGCAAATGGATGCCTCAGTCTGGAAGTGGATCCCAACCACTACTACATACTTGAATAAAAAGTTATAAAAGGAAGATTCTATCCTTTAGAAAAATATTTGAGAGAATAAATGAGCAAAATCGGATAGGTAATATGTACACAGACCATATACCAGCACTGATGTGATTGTATCAACTACCAATAATTTGTGTCATTAACAGGAACCCTGGGTAAAGGTAAACCAGTTGCCATTGAGTTGATTCCAACTTATGGTGACCCTATGTGTGTCAGAGTAGAACTGTGTTCCATAGGGTTTTCAATGGCTGATTTTTCAGAAGTAGATTGCCAAGCCTTCTTCTGAGACACCTCTATGTGGACTCAAACCTTCAACCTTTCAGTTTGTAGCAGAGCATATTAACCACCTGCACCTCCCAGAGACTCCAGGCCAAGGTAGACTGTGACACATTTTATTAGCTACTTAACCACAAACCAGATGTTAATGCATATTTGTTTAGTCACATACTGCCTGGCTCCAAAAAGAATTTCCTGGGACTTACACAGATACCTACAGCCCGGTAAGACAGAATCTACCTATTAATAGTCCATTGTAGAATCGCTGGTTTATAAACTGGAGCTCCAGAGAATGGTTACAGCTTCTAACATTTTCAGCCTTGCTGGCTGCTTTGAAGGGTGGGGCTTGCAGGCAACATTCCTGCTGTTCAGCACTGTGGCAAGGATAGCCCTGTCTGCTCCAGCAGAGCTTGAGCTGAGCCAGTTTTTTTTTTTTTTTTTTTAATTGTGCTTTAGGTGAGAGTTTCACAGCTCAAGTTAATTTCTCATATAAAAATTTATACACGTATTGTTTTGTGAGATTAGTTGCAATCCCCACAATGTGACAGCACACTTCCCTCTTTCCACCCGTAGTTCGCTGTGTCCATTCTACCAGTTCCTGTCCCTTCCTGCCTTCTCATTCTCCCTCTGGACAGGAACCGCCCGTTTGGTCTTATGTGTCTGACTGAACTAAGAAGCACATTCCTCACATGTATTATTTTTTGTTTTATCCCATTGCCGCCAAGTCGATTCCAACTCATAGTGATCCTATAGGACAGAGTAGAACTGCCCGCATAGGGTTTCCACGTTGTGCCTGGTGGATTCAAACTGCCAGCCTTTTGGTTAGCAGCCATAGCTCTTAACCACTTCACCACCAGGGTTTCCAAAACAGTGGTTAGATGCCACAAAGTAGGTGGCAATGCCTTAATCCTATGCGTGTTCTAAGGCCCGAGAGCCTCTTCCATCCTTGTCAAAGGGTGTGCTAACCTTCTCTCCTTTCATACAGCATACTTTTGTTTTACAGTCCTGTCTAATCTTTGTCTGAAGAGTGGGCTTTGGGAATGGTTTCAGCTCTGGGTTAACTGTATCTGAGGTCCATAGTTCCAAGGATTCCTCCAGTCTCTTTGTCAGTCCATTAAGTCTGGTCTTTTTACGTGAATTTGAATTCTGCTCCGCACTTTTCTCCTGCTTCATCTGGGACTCTGTTGTGTTTTCTTTCAGCCTGGAACCATCTAGTTCTTCTGGCCTAGGCTGGTGGAGTCTCTAGTTCATGTGGTCCTTCAGTTTCTTGGGCAAATATTTTCCTTATGTCTTTGGTTTTCTTCATTCTCCTTTGTTCCAAGTGGAATGGGACCAATTGATGCTTCTTTTTTTTCTTTTTAATTTATTTTATTGTTGTGCTTTAAGTGAAAGTTTACAATTCAAGTTAGTTTCTCATACAAACATTTATACATACATTGTTTTGTGACCCTACTTGCTCTCCCTATACTGTGACTGCACACTCTTTCTTTCTACCCCGGATTTCCAATGTCCATTCAACCAGCTCCTGACCCTCTCTGCCTTCTCATCTCGC